AAATGAGTACTTAGTATTCACAGGTTAAGGCAGGACTAAAAACCACTCCTTAAGCCAATGGAGGATTCCTGTAAAAAATAGGACTTCCTCTGTGAATCTACAGATTTTTCAACCTTCACAATATTTACTACTATGCTAGCCTAATGAGGATTGAGATAAGAATATTGTTTTTTTAATATCTCAACACATTGAGTATATTTGATTTACCTCCTTGCTCTATAATTTAGGTTCACAATTTAGTAACATATAAGGCCATTAAAAAGAAATAAATATAATTTGCCTTCTTGCACACCTATGTAGGCTACTGTGATTTAAACCAAATGAAGTAGATTTATCTCAATTTTGTCTTCTAAATTAAAAACACAGACCTTTATAGAATCTTTATTATCTATTGAGAATAAAAAGCAGTATTTGACATAGAACTAAACAATCCAATATTCTTTATTTCTATATTTTAGAGATTATGGTGTAAAACAAATTAAATACTAGTCTTATATAAATGAATCAAAGATAGGAAGATGAAATACATTTCTCACACAGAAGCCCTATGTAGTTCTTATGGACTAAACCTGACACAGAGTAAAGAAACAAGCACTTTTGGATTCTAGGTTAAATATAATTTATTTGTGAGGTTTTCCAGAAGGTTTCTATAAGCCAAGGCTGACAAAATAGATGATTTAAAATAAAATTCATGATATAAATTGGCGTGGCTATCAGTTCTGAATACCCTAACGAGTAATTATTTTAAAACGGTACAAAAATTCTATATCAATTCTTTTGAGTTGATCAAATAATAATTCAGATCAAATAATGGTTCAGACTTTTCATTTTTAGAAAACATTGTGATCATATAGTCATCTCTGCATACTGTTACCACTGAATTTCAATTCTGGGAGCACCAATTTTTCCACTAGAAAAATGCCAAAAGGTCCCAAGGTCTTAAACAAAGGAGCATTGTGGTCCTACCATGGCTCTATTGTGAAGCATGGATCAGACGTATTTATTGTTTCAGCCTCCTGTCAAAAATACCATCTAAACACATGAAAAAAATCTCCTCATGTAAACAAGTGAAAATTAAAGGCATCTGGGAGAGAGGCAATATGTACAAGATACAAGGTTAGCTATTAACATGTCTTATCTTTCCTGGCCTAATTTTGAGCAGCTTGCATTTAGCGATGGCCCCCAACACATCATTTCTTTAGGAACTTTTGTTAATTTAATGCAACCTAATGAGCCAGTTGGAGTCAGACTGCCCTTCCCACAGAGCTCCTGATAGGAAGTGAGACCATGAAGAAACAGCTGTGAGATAACAGAAGGGCGCTGATCTAGGTAATACAGCTACACTTCTTGCCCCTGAAATCTGCACAAGGAGATGAAGCACATCAATAACATGAAACTGGCTTGTCCTGAAACCTCTGGGTCTATTTAAATTTAGCTTCTTTAGTATTAGTCCATTGATTATAATTCACTGCCATGGTAGGGAAGCAGAGAAACTCCAAGCTGGTTTAAACAGTAAAGTTAAGGAAATATAGAAAGTATATTTTGTTTCCAACTTCACAGCAGGGAACCTAAATAACAAATCCTGCCAAACACAAACAAACAAACAAACAAAAACAAAACCTTTTGAATAAAAGGTGATCCTTGTAGATAGTGTACTTCAGCTTAAGTAGTGTCTCTAAACAACTGTCAGAATTACTGCTAAAAATTCCAGTGATATCACTTACACACCCAAATTAATATGTGATCCAAGAACAAGGTAGGGTTAAGGCAATGAAGAGAAAAGAAGTAAAATTTTTAAAACTAAAGTGTATCTATCCAAAGCATTCATTATAAAATATTTATCATGCTACCACTTTAGCTTCTTCCATGCATCTCTTCTTTCCTTTGTCATTGTAAACATAGAATTTTTATGCTGTATTCAAGAAGATGCATGTCCTCATTAAAACTATTCTTCAGTTTATTTCTTTTGTGTCAACTCATGATTAGCCATGCTAACGAAGAGAAGTAATGGCACAGACATTTCTAATGAAGATAACCAAAGCAATTTATTTTTGGCATCAATATGCTTTCTTTAATATTACAATAGAATTACCATCACCAAAATGATTTTATTTAAATTCATTTGAAACCAATTATATGTTAACAAAAGTCATATTTTGGTAAACAAAGTATAAATGTTCTGATTAATGAAAAGAAATTTACATAAGATGGGAAGCATGTTACAGTTAAACCAAAAGGTAGATAAGCTATGTGTGAACAATCATACCTAGAAGCAAGGTGCAAATATGTGTATATTTGTGCATAAATATGCATAAGTTTATGGGTGCATGTATGTGTGTCCATATTTGTACAGAGGAGTTTGGGGCTGAAAAACGATGCCATATATATTATGAAATATTAATTAACATTCTCATTAGTGCTACTTTGATTTCTACATATTTTGTGAAGCAATCTAAAGAAATGGGAGAAAATGTGATCATGAATATGGTTTAAAATGGCATAAGTAGACATATAAAAAATATATAATTCTAAGGCAATTTTTTGTCACTCTTTGCAGGAAACACACAAACTCCCCAAAAGGAAAATGTGAAAAATAAACTTATATGGATATGCTATGGCAGTTCATAAACAAATAAAAAGGTAATATATTACAAATTATAAGCATTCATTAAGAAGTCTTCTAAATTATTTTATATTCAACAGCTCAACCATATTTTGAAAATAATACTTAACAGAAGATTCCATCATCAGGAAGAACAATAAACATATTAGAAGTTTACTTAGCTCAGGTCTATTCTAGTCACATGATGTGCTCTATCTTACTCAGAATTAGATGGGAAAAGGATCATTTTCCTAACTCCTGGCTATGGTCTACCAATGGGCTGGTTTATTTGATTCAAAGGCAAAAATAAACAAAATACAAATAGAGATATCTCAGGCTAAATTTTTTTACTGTATAATGCTTTCCTATGAATGTCTACCAACTATCCATGTTCCATCAATCAAAATCTAGGGTCTGATAGACTACAGAATATTGTCTAACACACAGAAACAAAACTTCCAGCTCTATTTCTAACATCCATTCAAGTGAATATTTATTTTTAAAGCATACACTTTAAAATTCTGTTAGTGTGCCATTATTTTATTTTAGAGCTCTCATATGAGGAACCGTACCACATACTAGTAAGGAAATGGGGTTCTGGGTCAGACTGCCTGTTCCCAAATCCTGACAGCCACACTGTAGGAATATGACCTTGGGCAGGAGCTCAACCTCCTTCAGTTCCTCACCTTCCACATCAATCTGGCAGGGTTATTTTGAGGATTAAATGAACTATTACATTGAATACTTAGAATAGTGATTCAATATAGGACACTTTTTATAAATACCAGCTATTATCATCTAATGAGCTTTCTCTTTGCCTCATGAAGATGATGCTTTTTGACAAGTTAGTAGGTTGAAAACCTCTTTGAAAATTAATGTAAATCAGTTTTAAAGTATATTAAGGCTTGAAAGGATCCCTATAGCAATCTTTTTTATTTTTATTTTTTAGTGAGAGATAAATTGCAGTTGAACACATTGTCACTCACACAGACATTAAAAAAAAAAGCATCTTTATTGTAATTGGATGCACTAAGTATGGCAAATTTAAATGTTAACATCTATTTCATACATAACTCCAAATTTTCAATGTTTGTGATTCCATCATAAAATTCATTTCCCAAGAAAGCTTGCAAACATATCTCAGTATACGTGTCATTATTTTTTCATTGCCTGTCTTTTAGTGCATTTCACTTGACTTATTAGTAGCCAAACCAAAATTATTTCCTTTTCGAATTTTGAAATGCAGATATCACTAGCATGCTGGAAAGTAACAGTGAAATCACATGAAGTACAGAAGAAATAAACTAATATTAAAGAGGGGACAGAGTATGAATGACTGTTTCAGGATGCAGGTTAAGATCAATGGTGACCACATTCCCCGTCTAGGTCCACGGGTTGGCTCCCTCTCGCAGAGGTTGGCTGTTGTAGCATTCATTCAAAATATTAAATCAAAATTTGGATGCATATCAAAATAGCCTAAGCTTCCTTTAATAACACATTATGACTCCTGCTTTAAAATAATTGCTCTTTTTAAGTGGCGCTACTTCATGGAGCAATATCTTTTGTAGGGTTACTATAGCCTATGTAAAGTAGAAATTTCTTTTGTTTCAAACTTGAAAAGGAGAATCTCTGGTTCTATCATTTTCTTCTTTTTTATTACCATTTTTATTACCATTTATCCCCCCATACCCTCTTCTACCTCCACCCACCTTCTCCCCTCCATTTACCACATTGTTGTAATTCAGTAAACAAATCTGTTTAATTATTTATACAATTACCTTCACACTGAGCTTGATGTTTTCATTCTCATTGTATGGAAGTACTTCTTTTCTCATGCATGTTTCCTGCTTTTTCTTCTCAAGTAAGCAAACCAGAACTGCAAACTATGTGTACAGAGGTCAGTGGGGGGTGGTGGGGGGAACCCTAACTATATGAGAGACTTTTCCATTTGGGCCTCATTAAGACCCCAGCTGAGTCTAGTCACCAGTCAGATCTGTTTTAAATAAAAGCTTTCATTAACTGAAAAAGAAACACCAAAGCCATATGTTTTGAAATTTTACACAAATAATTTCCTAGTGAATGCACTTGAATATATTCAAAAAACTGGATGAAGTGACTTGTATCAACTAAGAAAAATGGGAATGGTATGATTCAGAAGCTTAAATCAGTAATGGAAGATATATATCTGATGAGTCATCTTGACATAATCATGTTACCTAATTAACTGTACTTCTAACTCTATTATTCAGAAATGAAAGTGATTATTGCGCAAAATTTTTCCATTTACCTAAACTGTCTTATGCAGTATTTTCAAACCTAACAAGACAATTAATATCATGTTCAAAACAGTGATTATAAGCATGTGAAATTTTTAATTTTATAATAATTAGATTCTTACCCTGATCGAAGGCCTTTCCTGGACTCCAAGTGCGGAAATAATCATCCTAAGGGGGAAAATAATGTGGATTGAGTGTATATGAGTAATTAAAATGTAAAGATTCATATAAAATCTAAAAGAAAATATGAAATACAGAAGCTGAATACAAACCTCTACTTCCTGCAATGGCAAGCAGCAAATTATAAAAAAATAAAGAAAAAAATAAAGAAAAGAACAAGAGAAAAACAACAGTTATCAAAAGAGAACACATTGTTTACATGTTCTAGAAATGTCTTTTTCAATAAATGTGTTCATTTTCATTGTGAGTCAATGGTTACTCTAACAATTTAACTATTTTACATTGTCGCTTTACCTAAATATTATAATGCAATACGTTCAATTGCAATTCAATGTGCAGTATAACATGCAGATAATTACCCTGAGCTAATAAGCTATAAAAGTGTCTTGCCAATTTCCAATTATACAACTTCATTTTCCACTAGTATGATAGTAAATAGAACCATTAATACAGTAGGGAAAATACCAAGTGATTTTCAACTAGCCCATACAGTACAAATATATGTTGTGCAAATCAATCACTTATTAATTGATTATATAAGGAGTTCATCAAAATGCTATTGGAAACTTAAAGAAAAGCATACCTAATTCAATCTTGCCTGAAGTTTAAATCTTTGATACAGAAAAGAAACATTACTATGTATTTAGTACAGAGTTTATAAATATGATCATACCACAGAGAAGTGGTGCAAAGCACACTGAAAGAAAATTTAAAAGCAACAAAGCCAAATGGACTATTTTATTGACTGTTTTTATACCCTAAAACTCTTGTACAAGTACTTCATACATATTACCTTTTATGTTAAATAAAACAGATTTTGCTGTTTAAATTAATAAGCTATTTTCACTACAGTAAGTAAAAGTAGCACATCATGAAGTTCACTGATGGAAGATGCCCTAGCTCCTCTTTGGACCCACAAAGTCAGTCCATTGGAAAGCTGCAGAACACAGGAAATACAAAAAGGCCAAGGAGAGACTCTTCCAGTCTCCCTCCAAATTCTACTAACATCTTCCAATGGAGAGAGAGGAAAATGTGGCACTTATTTTAATTATGGAAATAAATACATTTTCTCTAATGTAGTTATTCAAGAATTTTCAGTTGCTACAAAATTTGCTTCATTGTGATTAATCATTCCTCACTACCTTCTGCATTCCCACCTCACTGACTTCAAATGAAAGAGATGGGCAAAAAAGCCACAGAAGACACCTGTCAGTCTTATTATTTATGTTGCAACAGGGTTATACTAAGAGAAGGGCATGTTATGGCAGTCCACGTTGATAGGTTCTGTTCTGCAAAATTATCAAGGATTAAATTAAAAATAACACTGCTGGATAATTAAATATTAATTGTTTAGTCTCTTTTTAAAATCTCTTTTTAAAAATAATTTTAGCATAATAGAATTCTTAGAAAACTAAGCTATCAAATTAAAGTACTCCATTCAAATATCTAAACTTTAGCTGAGGCTCACGCATTCATTTACTGTCTTTTCTTTTTTCTGATTACGGTCTATCTCACGGGAGATCATTCCATGCTCATAGATGGATCGGAGTTACTCCCGAAGCCTGACTAAAAGCTAGACAATGAGCACAGAAGTGATGGATTCGGAAACAAGAAAACTTGTATTTTAAGTCTGGCTTTACCACTTCTTAGCTGCATAACTTTAGAAAAGGTATTGATCTAAACCTCAGAACCATTGAATAAAATTGGAAAATAATACCTATCTGGTAAGGTTGATGTGAGGATTAGTTATAAAAAATATAAAATACCAGCACAGCATCTGGCATAAAGGAGATGCTAAAGCATAACTGCCACTCACAAGGGCCAGGTTTGTCTCTGTCAATATCTTTGGGCCATATCACCATTGAACAAGTGCTCATTACTGCTGACATGGTCCTCTAGTTTTTTTAGAAGGAACTGTAGAGTCTTCATAATATTTGTGACGGTGATGTCCAAATGTTGGATGCAGTAAATATTTTTAAAGCCTACATAAAGCCAGTCCTTTTCATTGCAGTCTGTAGCAGTTAATGCAACAAGCCCAGTGTTTCTGCTGTCACCTAAGATTATTCTGACATGGTACAGCTACTAGTGGCATCATCCAAGAATATGTGGGCACGTTTTTACTGGAATAGTGACACCATCTGTGTAAATAAGACAGACATCTAGACGGGGGAATTGGTGTGAAACTGACATCAACAACACTGATAACATGAAAGCAACATGTTTGACACAACATATAGTGTTTGAAAAAATGCAGTCTTTACAGATTAGAAGAAATTGCGTGTGTGTGCGTGTGTGTGCGTGCGTGCGTGCGTGTGTGTGTGTGTGTGTGTGTGGATAACGTTATGGCAAAATTTAACCCCAACCACATATAACTTCCTTCAGAATAACATGATCCCATTGAGTTATTTTTGGGTCATAGCTATACAACCTATAATCATAATATAAACCATGAGCCAGGGTATTTGGTCTATGTCAAGGGCAATCTCAAAGTCTGGCCATTAAGGGGATCGGATACAGTATAAAAGAACAAAATACCAGTAGTTAGCCTATCAGCTATTTTTAGATACTTTTCTTAGTGTTCTCATATCACTAGAATTTTTTTTTTCTGAAAATGTTTTCACCTCATTAAATATTAGGAATTTTGCCAGGATGTGAAGTAAAAGTATTTTCATGTAAGTGTTCATTCAGAAGTTTTTTTGTCTCAAAAGCTTCGTGTGAATATTGGTTCTTCTCAGGCTTTAATTTAGACCCAAAATAAGCCAACTTAGGGATTTAAAAAAACAACCTCAAGCAATGCCCTCCATTGGAGAAACGCAGGTTCTGATGATTGAAACTAAGCCTGAGTGTTCCAACAGGCGAAGCTGAAGTCTTGTCACTTTTGTTCCAAATCTCACATCAGTGAATTACAGAAGCAACAGGAATGGATATTATGCTTTCACCAATTTCTAGTATTTAACAAAATATTTGTTTTTTTTTTAAAAAAGTTTATCTACATAACAAAATTTGATATCCTATTAAACTTTTTCCTTGTAGTTTTAATGCTTTGTTTTTCCTAATTTTAAATAAAATGCATACATAACAAGAGCATAGTTTTTCAACCTTGGCATTATTAATATTAGGCCAGGTAATCCTTTGTTGTATTGGGAGACTGTGGCTGTTCTATTCATTACAGGCTGTTTAGCAGCATCTCTGCCCTCTAACAATTAGAAACCAGTAGGGACCTCCCTCAAAGTGTGACAAATAGGAATGTCACCAAATATTGCCAAATGTCTCCTGAGGGATGGGGTGGAAATCACCTTTTTGAGTACCACTGATCAGAGTTACTGGGAAATACAAAAAGACAAATGAATCAAAATATCCTACAACAGTGGGTTGCTAACAATAACAGATTTTTCTCACAGATGGTTTATAATAATGAGATAACACTGTACATTCTATTTTATACCCAGCATTTTTTCTGAAACATTTTATTAAGGCACTTTACAACAGTATTAATGTTTCATTAAACTATTTAATAACTAATATCCTTTTGTGCAGATATATCATCATTTAGTTATCTCTTCATATGTCTGTGCTTTTGTAGTGTTTATAATATTTTGCTATAACAAATAACATACAAAAATGTCTAAGAATGTTTTTTTATAAATACAGAACATAAGCTTAAGAAAATTATCACTGGGAATAAACACCATGCCCAGAATAGAGAAACTAATTTCTTGTGACAATAACTAGTTATAAACAGGCTTTGGCCAGATGAAATTGGTTGGAGGACAAGTTTATATCCAAAGATCAACTGCTGAATTAGTTCATTCACTGCTACATGTGCATTTGCTTGAAGGAATAATATGGGTTAAAAAACTAGGTCAGGGGCCACTTAAGCATCTTCACAGATTTTTGATATGTAATCAGTTGAGAATAGGAGCCTTGATGCCCAAGCACTCCACGACGCCTGGAGAGGAACATAAAAAGGGAGGGGGCAAGGAAAAGAGGTGGGGGGAGGCAGAGACAAATGTATTTAAAAAGTAAATAAAAAAAAAGAATTAAAAAAAAGGGTAATGCTCAGGCATATGTTAGCTGTTATTAACCCACTGAAACTATTCAGGTGGCTATAAAGAACTGTATAGGCAATAAAACTTCATTAAATATATATTTGTAACAATGTTGAAACTAAGCATGACACTCTATAATAATAATCACTAGAGATACTATTGACGTCTACTCGACACTCTTTTTGTCCAACATGGGGGGGGGGGCAAACAAACCCAGGAATTTATTTATTTAAAAATTGTGTACTTATTCTTATATGTTTAAATGTCAGTCACCTTCAAATTACTGTCCATTTGATGAAATACACCTATCAAGATGTTTTTTCCTCTGCTCAAAACAGTTTTTGAACTTGTCAATTTTGATGACTTTTAGTGCTTTTGTGGGTTTTGTTTCATTCTTCCACACCAGCAAAATGTTTACCTTTGAAGACCTTTTTTTCATCAGGGGAAGTAAACAAATAAAAAAAGTCCCTTGGGGCAAGGTCAGGGGAATAAGGAGGGTGGGGCTTGGGGAGTTATGCTGGTTTTTGATTAAATACTGCTGAACACAAAGACTCCATGTGGTATAAGAGGGTGTGCTCCTAAATCACCCATCATTAAATGGACAAATGTGTTGAAAGAATCTTGAAAAAAAAATTTCACTGAAGCAGAATGTAGCCTCTCATAACAATGCCAGCTGGTGCACTGATATAGAAGGGGTTCTGGAACACTCACGTAGCAGGGAAAACCTGTGCTACAAGGGGCCTGCCCTAAAGAAGATAATTGTCTTTTGGGGGGGGTCCCCCCTCATATTACATAAGCATTCTATAATTTACATTACACAACTACTATAAAGAAATTTCTAAGCAAAGAAAAAGTATTCTACAAGTATAAAATGAGACCCAGAAGATTATACTCTTGGAGGCACATAGAAAGAATAAAATAAGTGTTGAGGTGATGATT